TCACAAGATGACCCTGCACTGTGCTGTGCTCAGCATTCCCCACCTTCTTGTCGACATGAGAAAGATGTCACCCCCTACACCAGTGTTTCTCAACTCCAGTCCTTCATGGACCCCCAACAGGTCATTTTTTCAGGATTTCCATTATTTTGCACAGGTGATTTGATCAGTTTCACTGCCTTAGTAATTACCACAGCTGTTTCATCTGAGGGAAATCCTGAAAACATGACCTGTTGGGGGTCCATGAGGACTGGAGTTGAGAAACACTGCCTTACACTATGGAATTTGGGGAAAGGTGAAAAAATTCTCTTGCTCGCCCCAGGAGTACTTTTATGCATTGTTCTAGGTTGGTCCACTGTTTTAGACCAAAATTGAGCAAATAAAAGAAGTTAATAGTTGGGGATAACATACATTTTAACATGAACTCTCTGAAAACCACTAATCTTTAACCTTATCCACAGGTCGGTTTGTGATGCCGGCTCTGCTGCTCTGTATGTTTCCAGACTGCCCCTCTCATCAGTACAGGACTAGCATCCACATGAACAGGATGGGACATGTCTGAAGTCCCTGGCCACATTCCAGAGCTGAAGATCAGAGGACTGGGGTGCTAGCTGTCATTGGTCCATGAGTTAAAGTGTGTAGGTATTAATAACTAATTTATTGCATTTTTAAATGCAATTTTGTTTTAATCAGATCTTTTTTATTAGATTTTTTTTGCATTTTGTTTTTAAACAAACAAACACACAATCTGAGCGTGACAAACTACAAACAAATCAAATAACATTGGCCATACAGTGACAAAGCAGCAATCCATAAATAAGACATATCAGCAGTGCTGCGATATTATTTCCAGAAACAATCATCAGTATTCGTACAATATATATGTAAAGCGCTGCGTAAATTGACGGCGCTACATAGGTACCTGAAATAAAATAAAATAAATAATATTCCTGCCATTGCCTTTTAGTTGGCCTTGCATATAAAATATACGGTAACTTTCCAATTAAAAATGTACATCTTATGAACTTATATCCTAGGACAGGGGTGGGTAACTGTGGTCCTCCAGCTGTTGTAGAACTACAAGTCTCATGAGGCATTGCAAAACTGACAGTTACAAGCATGACTCCCAAAGGCAGAGGCATCATGGGACATGTAGTTCACCAACAGCTGGAGGACCACAGTTGCCCACCCCTGTCCTAGGACAATAACAGGCTAAACCAGCACAAGTTGGCCTGAGTCTGTTACCTCTTCCAATAACGGCAAGCTGCATGCATCTATCTGCACATGTGCAAATTTCATCGGTTATAATATAGACCACCCCTCACATACATAGGGATAGCAGACGACCTGTAATATGGAATGGAGCCAAACCAGGTGTTGCCAACCCAGGGGTTCCATATAGCTTCAAGTTTTCTAGTACAGTTTCTGTGTTGAAATATCAGTTTTTCCTCAGGAGATTACATTAACTTGATTTTTCCACTCTGTTACTGAGGGGGGGCTGGACGACATCCAGTTTCCGTGCTATATAAAGCAACCTGGTGACAGGAGGTACCATCTCATTTGGCACTATAAACTCATCAAGCATGTTATGAAGACATATTTTAGGTTCTATTGTTAAGTTAAACTGGTAAATAGAGGACATAAGAGAAACAATATCATACCAATATCTATGGAGTTTAGGGCACCTCCAGGTCATATGAATAAAGTCCGCTGGACATCTCTCCAGATCTGTGCCTACGATTCCATCTATGTAATTTTAACTGGGGTGTGATAAACCCTATGAAAAATAAAATGTTGGGTGACTCTGTGCATCGGTGATAAGGATACCATAGGGAGGGGTTGTAAGGCTTCACTGTTAATGGGTTTATATCTTCTATACAATTAGCTGGGATATAGGTACGTGTATGTATCTCTACCATCAGGGTCCCATATAGTTGGGAGATAAGCCCCTTTTTAGAATTGGTTTGCCCACCATGCTTCCTGGGCTCTGTGTCCCACCTGTGGACTCGCGTAGTGGGTGTCGCTGGTTGGAGGGGGGGGGAGAGAGATTAACAAACTTTGCTGATCTCCCCCACTTAACATAAACCCAGATGTGACCTGTAAAACATAACTTTTCCTGGCTTTTGTGGCTAGGAAAGAAGCTAATTATTATTATTTATTATTCAGGATTTATATAGCGCCAACAGTTTGCTCAGCGCTTTACAATATAAAGGGAGACAATACAGCAACAATACAGTTCAATACAAGAGGTATAGAAGGGTCCTGCTCCTTGGAGCTTACAATCTAATGAAGTATGATCTGTGCTCAGGTAGCTTCAGTGGAAGTCCCGTAAGACCTCGGGTTCAAAGACCCCCTTTCATTGAAGAGAACCTGTCATAAAAATATTGTCACATAGGGGACATTTGCCCCTATATGATATGAATAAAATTGTATTAAATATATAAATACATTTGTACCCAAGCATTTAAATGCCCCCCCACGTACACATAAACACACCCATTGGGGGCACCTATGTGCATAAGCTAAAGATTCTGAGTGAATTCTCTACACCCATTCCAGCAAACTTTGTACAAAAACAGGGATTTTTAGTTATTATTATACAGGATTTATATAGCGCCGACAGTTTGCTCAGCGCTTTACATTATGGTGGGAGACCGTACACGAGACAGTACAGTAACAATACAATTCAATGCAAGAGGGATTCGAGGGCCCTGCGCCTTGGAGCTTACAATCTAGGAGGGATACACACAAGATGGCGACCGGAGCGGCCGCATAGATCAGAGCTCCGGTCGCCCCCACACTCCCGTCCCACCAACCCACTCCCATCCGTGGGGGCAGCGGGCGCACAGCGACCACCGGAGGTCTCTCTGACCCTCCCTGCACCTGGAGGGGGGAGCGATGCCTCCCGCTGTGCGGGCCAGAACTCCGCCTCCGCCACCACGTCCGACCAGGCAGGGCCCTCCGCGGTCTGTCGCAACTAAATCCGCCGGGCCCTGGATGCACCGCAAGAGGGGAAGCCGCCACTCGAGCCACCCACCGCCCACTACTCTGCCTCCCACCGCGGCCTCCCGCATCAGAGTCCGCCAGGCCCTGGACTGGCAGGGCCGCCTTCAAACCTGGCAGGGCCTGCTGCAACAAAGTCCGCCGGGCCCACTAATTGAGCTAATCGGCACAGCCGCCCGCTTATAAGCTGCTGTATGTGTAGCAGTGGGTAGGGGGCGGGCACCGGTGATCAACCCGACCCTACCTGCGCCCTTAGGAGGAGATCGGTGTCACCTAGGCCTACATCCCAGACTACTCCAGCACCCGGCCTGGCGGAGCCTGCTGCACCTACCACGGCACACCCCCCTGACATCTGAGGGGAGCCTGCAGCAGGCCTTAAAGAAACAGCAGATGAACTTGGCCTGGTGAGGGCAACCACCGCCTACCACGACGCGATCTTGCCGAGACCTGAAGCCCATCTGTCTACCCCCCTGAGTACAGCCAGCGTGGGAGAGGGCCCGACCTCTGGTTCCTTGGTCCCCTAGCTCCTACTACACTCAACTGTCACAGCGGATATCCACCCCTCAGCCATATACTAAATTTGTTTGTTTATTCATGGTACTTTTGTTTCTTTTTTTAATTTGTCAAAAATATTTTGATGTTCTCATGTTCATTATATTGGCAATTGCCATATCTTTTGTGAACACAAGATGGCGCTACAACCGGTAATGCGATGTCTTGCTCTTTTTTCTCCGGCATGTAATGGCTGATTATATGTTTTTTAATAAGATAACTTGTAAGATTATTTCCAAGTATTTTTGTTTTAGGTTTTTAATTATGTGTTAATAGCAGGATGTGCTGCAGCGATCCTGGGGCTTGTGACCAATGTCTCTCTTCTGGTTGCGGTGCTTGCCTAATTAGAATGAAGGAGGAGGTGGTTCCCTTCCTCCCTATAAATATGCGCTGCGTCCTGACGCTGGCCATGCCCCTGACGAAGTCATTGATGATGAAACGTGTAGGGAGGAGCCAGAGCGCTGATGTCGGTGCACAGCGGAACGTGGTGGCCATCTTGTTGGTTTAAACTTACCATTCATCTATATGGTGACATGCTGTTTTTACATTCTCTTTCATGTATGTTTTTTACTACGTTTGAGGCAATAAATTGAATTCATCATCCATCATCCTACACTATGAGGATTCTTCTTGCATTTTGAACAGTGTTGTCCTCTATGAGGATAATTCTTTTGTAGGTTTACCTTTGAGTTCATTTTTGATGTGAAAGTTTGGAACCAAAGAGTGCCCAGGTCCATGGCTTGCCTTCTGAATTTCATACAGCGCATTTTGACCCATCCGTAACTGGGGGTCAGTATGATCCGGTAAGAGGCAGTGTGTTTGGTGATGGTGGACTTTTCTATCTTCTCTTCCTGGCCGTTTTGAGACATCTATAGTAGCACTGAAGGTCTAGGGTAGAGGAGCTCATTCCCTATACCTCTATCCTTGTGGATTGGACTTTTATTTATTTCAGGTACTTATATAGTGCCATCAATTTACGCAGTGCTTTACATACCGTATTTTTTCGCTCCATAAGACGCACTTTTTTCCCCCCAAAAAAGGGGGGAAAATGTCAGTGCGTCTTATGGAGCGAATATAAAGCGGCCGGTCCAGTATTTCTGCCGCCACCATGTCAGAATACCGGGCCGGCCGCTCAGCTGTTGTCTCCTGCAGGGCCTTACCTGTTCCTCGCTCCAGCGCTGCACAGTCTTCCTGCGCTGGCTTCTGTGACAGCCATGTGCCCACTGCGCATGTGCTGCGCTTTGTGAATGATCCGGTATCTTCTGGGACACATGAAAGGTCCCAGAAGGCGCCGGGCCATTCACAAAGTGCAGCGCTTCTCGCACATGCGCAGTGGGCACCCGGCTTTCACAGAAGCCGGCCCGGGAAGAAGAGGGAAGGACAACTCTGCGGAAGTGGGAGCGGGTACCTGTCAAATTCAAGTACCCGCTCCCCCTCCCTCCCCAAAGGTCAGCAGTCTCTGGTCATTCCCTTCACTGTCTGCAGTCTCTGGTCATTCCCTGCACTGTCTGCAGTCTCTGGTCATTCCCTGTACTGTCCGCAGTCTCTGGTCATCCCCTGCACTGTCTGCAGTCTCTGGCCATTCCCTGCAGTGTCCGCAGTCTCTGGTCATCTCCTGCACTGTGTCCGCAGTCTCTGGTCATCCCCTGCACTGTCCGCAGTCTCTGGTCATCTCCTGCACTGTGTCCGCAGTCTCTGGTCATCCCCTGCACTGTGTCCGCAGTCTCTGGTCATCCCCTGCACTGTGTCCGCAGTCTCTGGTCATCCCCTGCACTGTGTCCGCAGTCTCTGGTCATCTCCTGCACTGTGTCCGCAGTCTCTGGTCATCTCCTGCACTGTGTCCGCAGTCTCTGGTCATCTCCTGCACTGTGTCCGCAGTCTCTGGTCATCCCCTGCACTGTGTCCGCAGTCTCTGGTCATCCCCTGTACTGTGTCCGCAGTCTCTGGTCATCCCCTGTACTGTGTCCGCAGTCTCTGGTCATCTCCTGTACTGTGTCCGCAGTCTCTGGTCATCTCCTGTACTGTGTCCGCAGTCTCTGGTCATCTCCTGTACTGTGTCCGCAGTCTCTGGTCATCCCCTGTACTGTGTCTGCAGTCCATTGGTTCAGAATATTTTTTTTTCTTGTTTTTCACCTCTAAAACCTAGGTGCGTCTTATGGTCAGGTGCGTCTTATGGAGCGAAAAATACGGTATATCTTGTACATTCACATCAGTCCCTAACCTTAAAGGGGCGTACAATCTAAGGTCCCTAACTCACATTCATATATAAGGGCTAATTTAGACCGGATCGAATTAACCTACTAGCATTTCTTTTGGAGTGTGAGAGGAAACCGGAGTACCCAGAGAAAACCCATGCAGGCACAGGGAGAACATGCAAACCCCAGGCAGGAGGTGCCGTGGCTGGGATTCGAACCAACGACCCTTGTACTGCCAGGCGGAAGTGCTAACCATTTAGTCACTGTGCTGCCCATTTTAAGTTCATTTTATGATTATTTGAAGCGCTGAACTTTGTATATTATTACATTTATATTGTTGCCTGCAATATTGTGGTGGCTGCTTATGTGGGTTGTATTATTTTTATGTGTATAATTGTATATACCATCCCACAGAATTGTAAAGGAGTTTTTTTGAGACATATACAATGTAATGCCATCTAGTGGCAAATTATGATATATCCCCAACCTATTCCTACTGTGATAAAACTTTATTCGTACCTGATTTATGGGGAAAAAATGTAAATATTAAAATAGAATAGATAAAATGAAAGAAAAGGGAAATAAAAATGTATTGTGGTACCTGTATATAAAAACAATATCACCATGTACATAGCTAAATTAGAATGCAAAACTCTTAGAAGTATGAAATATCAAACCATGTTGGCTCAGGTCTTCCAATTCATAAATCCACCGGGTTTTTCTTTTAGAGATATCCTTCAGTTGCACTTTATTCACCATTTTTGTTTGCACATTATTAAGACCTAATTTATGTATCTTTTATTGCATTTTATGTAGAAGTTAAGGTTTATATATGGTTTGCTCTTTATTCTAGGAAACTATATTCTAAAGTTGAGTGATAATATGTATATATGTATTGTTAATAAAAAAGCAAAGAAGTAAAATAACTGTACATAACATTTAAAATATACAACACTTACTAAAGTAAGCTGAGAGGCACTGTGCAAATAAATATTAAGGACTTGTTCAAATGGGCACTTTTACCTTTAATGCCTGCAGGAGGCATTTGTTTTAGTTTCTGCATCTACCCCCAGCTGCATGCAAGCAGCCTATATAAGTGGATGTCAATGCAGTGGCTGCTCAGACACAGTCGTATGTCAAAATCTGACAGCCATCCAGGAGCATCTGCATAGCCATGTATGCACACTGTGTTTGGGGCTGTGTAGTCACTCCAGCATAACTGTCAAACTTTGATGTGCACTCCACAAATCTGGCCTTTATGGAAGAGTGGCTAGAAGAAAGCCATTGTTGAATGAAAGCCGTAAGGAGTTCCGTTTGCAGTTTGTGAGAAGCCATGCGGGGATACAGCAAACGTGGAAAAAGGTGCTCTGGTCAGATGAGACCAAAATTGAACATTTTGGCCTAAAAGCAAAACACTATGTGTGGAGGAAAACTAACACTGCACATCACCCTGAACACACCATCCCCACCGTGAAATATGATGGTGGCAGCATCATGCTGTGAGAATGCTTTTCTCCAGCAGGGACAGGTAAGCTGGTCAGAGTTGATGGGGAGATGAATGGAGCCAAATACAATCTTAGAAGAAAACGTATTAGTCTGAGAAAGACTTGAGACTTGAGACTGGGTGGAGGTTCACCTTCCAGCAGGACAACGACCCTAAACATACAACCAGAGCTACAATGGAATAGTTATATCAAAGCATGTTCATGTGTTAGAATGGCCCAGTCAAAATTCAGACCTAAATTCAATTGAGAATCTGTGGCAAGATTTGAAAATTGCTGTTCACAGATGCTCTCCATCCAATCTGACAGAACTTGAGCTATTTCTTTAAAGAAGAATGCGCAAAAAATTTCACTCTAGATGTGCAAAGCCGATAGAGACATCCCCAAACAGACCTGCAGCTACAGCGAAAGGTGGTTCTACAAAGTATTGACTCGGGGTGGGGGCTGAGTACAATACTGCAACACTTTTCAGATATTTATTTGTAAAAAATGTTGAAAACCATTTATCATTTTCCTTCCACCGCACAATTATGTGCCACTTTGTGTTGGTCTATCACATAAAATCCCAGTAAAAACACATTTACGTTTTTGGTTGTAACATGACAACATGTGGAAAATTTCAAGAGGTATGATTACTTTTTCAAAGCTTTGTACGGTCTGCAGACTGGCTAGGCCATTCTATTACCTTAATGTGCTTCGTCTTGAACCACTTCTTTGTTGCCTTGGCAGTATGTTTTGGGTCATTGTCATGCAGGAAAATCCATCCACGACCCATCTTCAGTGTTCTGGCTGAGGGAAGAAGGTTCTCATTTAGATTTTACAATATATGGCCTCATCCATTGGTCCCTCAATGCGGCAAAGTAGGCCTTTACCTTTAGCAGAGAAGCAGCCCAAAGCCTAATGTTTCCAACTCCATGCTTGACTGTAGGGATGGTGTTCTTAGGTCTTAGTCGCATTTTTCTTCCTCCAAACATGGAGTTCATGCCAAAGAGCTCAATTTTGGTCTCATGACCACAGCACTTTCTCCCAATCCTTCTCTGAATCATTTAGATGTTTATTGGCAAACTTCAGATAGGCTGTATATGTGCCTTCCTGTAGAGGGCGGCCTGCGAGCGCTGCAGGATTTTAGTCCATGGCGGCGTATTGTGGTTTCAGTGGTTTGTTTGATGACTGTGGTCCCAACTGCCTTGAGATCATTCACAAGCTCCTCCTGTGTATTTTTGGGCTAATCCCTCACTTTTTTTATGATCATTCTTACCCCATGGGGCAAAATCTTGCATGGAGCTTCAGACCGAGGGCGATTGATGGTCATTTTGTATTTCTTTTATTTGCGAATAATCACCCCAACAGTTGTCTCCTTCTCACCAAGCTTCTTGCTGATGGTCTTGTAGCCCATTCCAGCCTTGTTTTGGTCTACAGTGTTGTCCCTGATGTCCTTTGACAGCTTTTTGGACATTTGTCCATAGCAGTGCCCAAGAAAGAGATTCTGTGGACAGTTGTCTTTTATACGCATAACAAGTTGTCGTTAGGAGCACATGAGCACATGGCCAGTCTGTGGGACCAGAATTATTATTGGGGATCAAATACTTATTTTAGGCACTGAACTGCAACTCAATTTATAACATTTGTATCATGTTTCTGGATTTTTGGTTGATATTCTGTCTCTATCATTTAAAATACACCTATGATAAAAATTATAGACCCTTCATTTATTTGTAAGTGGGCAAACTTACAAAATCTGCAGGGGATCAAATAATGATTTTCCCCATTGTATGTTTAGTTAAATCTTCCTCTCATAAGAGGAGAGAAAGATACAATGCATCTTTATTGCCATTCAGAAAAAGTAAACATGTAGGTGGGCAGCACAGTGACTGATCACTGTGACAACCAATCAGAGGCTATCACAGCGATCAGGTGACCTGGATCCAGAGGTCCTGGGTCCCGATCATTAGTATGAGACTCAGGTATCCCGGAGAAAGCTCGGTCTATGTGCTGGGAACGCTCTCTCAGCATAAAGACAGGTATGCAGATATGCGGTCCCACAGATAAAAAACCCAGTTCAGTGAGTCCATATATCTGCGTACAGCGGGCGGGAAGGTGTTAAACAATTTTCCCAGGTCAACTTCCAGGACGGCTTATGAGAGAGGCTTTTCCCACCTAGAACAGAAAACACATGATCCACATAAAGATAAAATGCCTGGGCACTCTCTACATATGTGTTTACATTTGTATATATGTAGGGGTTTACATTTTTAAATTTATTTTCTTTTAACTTTAATTTTCTGAAAACTTTAAAACTTTTTTTTATTTAACTGCTGCTGGTATCTAGTGTATGTACAAGTGTGAGGAATATTTGGTCTTCCGGTGGGTGTTGTGATTCCTCCTGACTGCTGTGACACCACAGAACACAGTAGTCACATAGCAGCCAGCGGGATGAACCACTGTACCCAGCAAGGGTCACAATATCCAACACACATCAGAATAATGTCAGCAAGACCCATAGCTCTTCAAGAGAGCAAAGATTTGACTCCCTTCCCTCTGGAAAGGAACGCATTGGATGTCTTTTACAGGGTGATTGTGTTTTATTTTGTCACCAGATACAGTGATGAGTGTGTCATCAGCACACCAGGATAATCCCTAAAGAACATCCTTTTTTGTAGTCATATCACAAAGCAATGTTTTTGAACCTTAGGGACCTTTTTTAGGTCATCAGGGCATATCATGTCCAATAAATCATAATCCAATTTAGGATATCTTATGTATTCATTTTTGCAGTTTACCTTCAGACTTTTTGGGTAAGGTTTTCATGATATTAAATAGAATATCTGATGATACTCTGCCACCTTCCATCTGAGAACTCAGAACTCTTCCAGGGGAAACAGAGCAATAAGACTTGACAGAAGTGTGTTCTTCACAAGATTGGCTGAAGAGAATTACAAATCCTTTTGGCAGGTAAAACAAAACATTAAACATATTTGTATTCTGGACTGACAGCTTGTTATTGAACTACAATGCCCAAGCCTTTATGTAAATTTGGGTTTTCACATTGGCCTTCATTTGTGGTGTATGTTCAGTTTTGCTTATTTAGAAAATGCTGGTTTAGTACTATGGTGTCCTTTTATCAAGCAGCAGTAAATGACCGCTGCTCTGTTCTCTGGCATTCTCAGAGGAGACCGTTCTCCTCTGAATGCCTGTTCATGAAGCGGTGTAGATCGCTTCTCCTAATGAGGAGAGAAGCGATCTACAAACACTTGGAATGCTAGAAAACAGCTGCTGTTACTGTAAGAGAAACCATAAGAGATCAGTCAAACACACAGTT